AATTCAGTGCCGGCGGCGGGGCTTGGTAGCTTGCTATCGATTAGGGCCCCGGTTATTGGGTAATTATTTAACCTCTCGGGTGAGGATGGGGTTTGGAAAGAGGCATCCGCGGCAAAGCATGTTTCATCATAAAAACGGCCCAGGTGTAGTCGACGTGTTGTGTAAACTTTTCGTGAAGCGCCTGAGACTAGTAAATTTCAACATCTCCTGGCTACGGCCTAAGAAGTGGGCCACCTAACTTGGGCCACCTAACGTGGGAGAGCTGACTAAAAAGCGACATCTCGCGTGGTTCGTCACGGTCGAGGAGTGCGCTTGGCACCTTACATGAAGCATTACGTTTTGCCGATTACTGCTTTTTGAGGAGGATGTACAGCTAAGCGTTTCCATATTGCTGTAATGAGTTTTCCCAAGGGAGCAGAAGCACATTAGTAAATGGAGTTTCGTAGTTGCATCAGAGAGTATATTCTTGACGTTAAGCATCAGAAGGAAACGTTCATGATCCCTAGCATAGTGGTTACAGGTGGAGATAAAGAAAAGAAGTATCAAGCCATGGCTCCAAGGCTGTAAACAACTCGTAAGGAGGGGTGAGGGAGCTTACAGGAGTGAAGGCTAAGCAAGTGAATAAAGGTCCACTAAGTTTTATAGCAACCTGTTCTGTTTTATGCAAATGACAGTTATAAGACTGTTCTTGCTATCAGCTCGGGTTGCATCCCTGTTCTGATTTTAGGTTGTGTTCCTAAGAGAGGTGTTTTACGGAGTAAGAATTTTATGTTGTTGTTTGTCACATGCGCTTTTCGGTTGCTGATGCACTATAGTTTGAAAACTGTGTTTTGGTTTGTCAAACAGCTCCTTTTTATTGAGTCACCCTATCACCAAGTAATAGGGGAGCTATTGTAGTATATCTGATACATTTTATACATCTCTAGTCTCAGTTTATCAAGCATTAATGTATTTAGGTTAAAAATTACCTCCAGTGTATTTTGTTCCAGGTGTTATTGTTCTGCTTAAGGCATGAAATAGTGGTACTTTATGCATCCTCTTTTGTCGAAAAAGAGAGTAAAACATTGTATGGTAAGATGTACTTATAAAATGTTTTATAGTTTAGTTTATAGGAATTAGAATGAAATAGCGTATGTATTGAAAATACATCGTTCAGTTCATTCAAAGTATCGTCTCTTTTAATGGGAAACTCTTAATTTCTTCAGTCTTAACCTCTTATTTTCAGTCCCTATAAGAGAATGAGCACTGTCTAATCTTCCAATACATGAAACTTTAAAGTCCTTTCAGAAATATTTTTAAAATATGATATAGAAAAACATTGATGGTCTGAATTCAAATTCTGGCTCTGTCGCTGATTTTAGTAAGTACGGTGACATTCTAGTGACAATTTTCTGCCTCTCTCAGAAGTAGGCTAATAATTGTTATCTGGCTGATGGGTTTGTTGTGTAAATTAATGTTTGCGAGAGCTGGGAGACTATCAGATGAGAAGTGACTTAAGATAGCATGCTTGTGCCTCCCTGTCTATGTGTATATGTATATCACTGCAGGAGTACTGTGTAGCCTACTGGAGCAAGATATGTTTTATTTGCCACTACTATTACAGAACAGACTTACTGCCTCGAGTTCAGCAGTTGTATTTGCTTGATTTCTGTCCAGATATACAGCTGGGAACTCTAACCTGACTTGCTAATAGCATTTATAAATCAATTTCAGGGAGGAAAGGTGGTGGGGGTAATCTGGTTTACAAGATTTGCAGGCAACCCTGGAACACACGCTTAGAGGAGCAGTTCTTTTACTGTTAAACAGATGCTCTACGGAAGATAATCTTTGATTCCTTTTAATAGTCCATTTAAGTTGAAGAGCGTTCTCAGGTTTTCATTTGGAGCTGCTCTGTCACGGGAAAAGACCCAGTGTTTTCTTTGGAACAAATGTTGGAGCACTTCTTAGTAGGCTATCCTACGGATTTGTCCCATGAAAACCTGGTCTAAGGTACTGAGTTGAGATTAATATGGTTATTATTTTAACTCAATCAACAGAAATGTCATCATATATGTCATTTTAAATACAAGGTAATATATTTCCCAGGATGCTAGCAGTTAGATACCGGGAAACGAAGGAGAGAAAGTTTAGAGCACGTTTTGGTAAAATAAAAGCTGAGAAAAAATTCTATGTTTGTGTTATTTATGCAGTACAATGACAATTGGCAGATAGGTCTCACTTTAATTAGGGCAGTCTTTTAGAGTATCTTGGTGTACTTTTTAAGTTACTTAGTCATCATATGTTTTTGTGAATTTTATTTGAGGGATGTTGTTTTGCTAGGAGTGGATGGACTATTAAATGGATTGTTCTGGACGGACAACAGCATATGTTTGAGAAAAGTTTGAAACCATTTTCAGGAGAAATCAGATGTCACTGAGTAGGATACATCATTTCGCTTAGCCTTTTAATTGAGTTGGTGGGACTTTTCTGTTTTTTTTCTGTCTTAAATAGTCGTATTAGCCCCTCCCCCCAGCCCATTTTCCCTCCCAATTTTGTGGTTTAGGGAGCATGTGTAATAGTGGTCCCTGTATAATTATGAAGGATATCACTCTTTTGGCTAGCTGCTTTGTGATCCCCGGGATGTCATGTTATCGAGATCTGCTTAACTTCTCCTGGTGAGATAGCAAGCGTCTGGGATACCAAAATACTCCTCCCAGTTACTGACTAGATGACTGACTGTGTTCAATTACTTTCAATTACGTTTGATCGTGTTTGATTCTGGGACCCTCTAATGAGACACTTTGTGCCTCAATTTCCACTGACCTTTAGCTCAAGAGAGCGACTCTGCCAAGCTGAGGTCACCCTTGGCAGTTCATCCTCGGGGTGAGGAAATGGTCCTGACAGCCCGGCTGTTGAGAGCACAGGTAGTCCGCCGCCTCCTAATGTGCGTGTTCGGATGCCAGGAACTGTGCGCGTTTGGATGCAGCAAGGTGTTAAACTGTGAATTTCGGGAAACATACAGTTTCTGTGCCTCGGTTTTGTTCTATCCAGGATGCTTTCTGTTTTAAGGTATGTTCCTATTGTGAATTGTGCTACCTCTGATCTGCTGTTCTGCAATGATGGTTGACAGTTGATTGTGTCAATCCGTTTGCCAGGGTAGGCTGTTCCTTATATTCTTTTAAACCTCACTTTATATATTTCAGATGATGGAGCTCTAGGCACTTTCCTTGGCAGGCTACAGCATGGATTACTTGACTTCATTATAAAATTTTTAGAGATCTGTTGTTGGACATTGCCACTGCACGTAGCCCATGTATTTAACACTTTCTATCTGTGTTAACATCTTCCCTCACGGTTTTTCTTATTGGAGTTATCAAAAGGAAACTTCGTCTCCTGAATTCATGATGAACAATATGTTGAAGTGAGCTGCTTAGCACACGTTAACAGTATGAAGCTTGGACTTAACGTTTCAGCACCAAAAATGCAAGCGCTTCATAGCATCAGGTTGTCTTGAATGACTCTGGCCACTCCTCCTGCTCATCAGCGTGACTGTGGAGTGACTCAACTTCTGCCACTGGGTCTGGATGAGACCAACAAGCTGTCTCTTATGACCCAGGTGGTTTCTATACTTGTGGGACAATTCAGGCAGCTGTGACAGTTCATACCTGGTGGAGGTTCTGTCCATAGGTCAGCCACCGGGCGTGAAGGACCCAGCATGCTCCCTTTCTCCTTTAAAACTCGGTGATTTTTAGTTTGCCTTTCTGGGGGACACGGGTGAGTGAAGTGTAATAAGCACCTGAGCCAGAGATTGTCGTTGTGAGCTTATTAAGAAAATTACAAATCTCTGAGAATGTTTTTGTGCAGACTGATGCAGCATTACTGGTAGTGACATTGCTCCTCTATAAAGAAGTCCAAAGTGCTAAATTTTAGTCTTCTGGTTTCTGCATTCAACATCCTTTCTGTACTTCTACAAACGTGGAAAGGGGGTTGCCTACCAGAGGGTGGCCCAAAGGCCCAGGAAATGAGGAATGGCTGTACGTGCACATGTGGCCCTTCACCTGCAGTGGTGTGTAACAGAGGTTGGGCTGAGCTGCCACTTCGCATCCTGGCCTACCTGGAAAAGCCTGACTTCAGCTCCCCAGCAAATGTGCACTTCACCTGCACAGAGCCAGAGCGGTTGAGCTGCAGGAGGGCTGAATGGCTTTTGCTGTGAGAACAGGGTGGCACAGGAGCGCTGCCTGAAGTGCCAAACCCTCCAAAAACTGCCTGGGCTTCTGCTGGTTCCTACCTTGCACCAGTGTCACAAGTGCTGGTTCTCTTCATGGTTAGCGCTTGTAACAAGAACAAGTTAAGAATAAATGAATCTTGGTAGATAGTAATACTCTCCTAGGTTTGAGAGGGAGGTTGTTGTTTTTATTGTTGTTTGTTTGTTTGTTTTTAACTTCCTCTTCTGATGTTAGTAGTCTTCTGTGGTGTTTATCCTGTTTGGATGGTTGGGAATGTCGTACATATTGGAGTTATTTTGCTGATAGAATTTTTCTTACTCAGGGCAGTAAACTGGTTTGCAAAGAATGAAGAGGGCTTACTATAAAGAATTACAGTCAGGACTAGGAAATTACACTGAATTTCAGTGTAGTTCTTCCAAATGCACTGATTAAACTTACTGTACTGGGATCTATTAAATGAAATCCATTATTACCGCTGCCTTTAAAATATGTACTTGAGGAAGCTGAAGAAAACTGCACTTTATTTTCAAATACATAATTCTTTAAAGCTGAAAATTGGATAAACATAGCGGTAGGTAAACAAGCAATAAAAGAGCAGGTTATATTTAAAAATAATCTGGATATATGGAATGTTTTTATTTCTCTATTTGTGAAATGCAGTGATCAAACTATTCTTTTAATAACTCAAACATTGATAGTACCATGTATATTCTAATAGTTATGAATAATTTTATTCCTAGTAGCTGGCACAATGTGGACAGAACCCTTCTCTTAAGCTAGGCAACACTGCAAGTATGGGTATTAAACACGTGTAAAAACCTGTAATTTTTTCTCGTATATCAGTCTCATGCTCTATTTCTTTAAAAGTAACGTAATAAAGTAGTTAGCTGGTGATGGTAAAATCTTTGTTGCTTATATAAAAATAGTAACTGCTTTCTTGGATTTACAAGGCCACTTTTCATGGGGATTCTTTCTAAAGTATGTAAAATGGGGAAACTGTGTTTTACTCTGCGTTTGGAAAGCAGTTTAATGAAGCCAGTAAGTCAACTGGCTGATAAATAACTAATGCCCCAGAGTAACTCTCATTTAATTATGCTTTTTACTTTTTGAGCTAAAGCTAATCAAATCTAATTACAGTTTTGGTACTCTTTCTTCTGTGACTTTATTTAGGTCTAGAAAATTTAACTGCAAAAAAATCTGTCCATAATAAATTCTGATTAAATGAGCACATTTAGACTTTAAAACAGTTAGACTTGTAATTTAATTTGCTTGTCTGTTATTATAAAGAGTTTGGAGTAGGATAAAGTATCTATTCTGCTCCTCTGTCCACTGTATTACCTGACACAGCAAATATTCAATATTCTGTTCTACAGAAACTCATCAAATACTTGGCCAGACAAGAAGCAAAGTTGCTTTAGTAGAATTTTTATGTCTGATCTTCCGTCAAAGAGGTGCCCTGGTCGTGAACCTTCCCCTGTGTATGAATATGTGGAATCAGCAGTTTTCTTTGAATAGGGGAATGTTTAGGGTGTTGCCTCCAGAAAGATTGTCCGAGAAATTCAGAAACTTTACAAATGCTTTATTTCAGCCTGTGGATGTGCCATTAATACAGGCTTATTGCAGCTTTCTTAGCAAATTCAGTGCATCTGTGCAGAAGCAAAAAGGCTTTCTTATTTTGTTTTTTCAAGGGTGACAAAAATGGGACAAAAATAGAGTTCCTTAGCATTTTTCTTATTCATTCCCAATAAAAATGTGTTGTAAATACTTCTCCCTTTTTCTCCACTGGCTGAGTTAAAAATGCTGCTTCATTCTACTATGTATATATTTATATAGTGATCTAATTACAAGCAGAGGAACATTTGGTACCTTCCGTTTTCATCTCAAATATTTGTGGAATATGTGTAGAATCAAACTGACTGTTTTGCCAAAAGATCTCAATAATCTATTGGTGTTGCCAACAAAACACAGGCAAAGTAAACACTTCTCTAAAAACATGTCTTGTGCATGCCTCACCCCCACACGCTTCTTGAGGCCTGGCCTTAAATCTCAGCTGTGACCTACATGAATGAAAAACCTAGGCCTAGAACGCAGGCAGACTGTAAAATAAAATCATTAGGTCGAGAACAGCAGGGCTGTGACAACTCACAGTATATGGCTGGGAATTTAAAAATTATTTTATTTTATTTTACAAAATCATTGGTAAGCTTAAGACTTAACAACCCATTGTGATAATGTGATAACTAGGAGCAGCTAACATGTCTTCTCAGCTGTTCTTTTCCAGCAATGTATAAAGGTGATTAGGGCAGCGTTTGCTATACGAATGCAGTGCTCGTTTTACAGTTGCAAATGTGACAAAATAAAGGTGAAATTAATGGAATCAGGATTCCTCTGCCAGTGTCTGCTTCTGCACTTCAGGTTCATAAAATAAGGGATATATTTGTGAAGCAGATGGGGGGAAGACAGTATTTCTTATAAATCTGGGCTAGCATGCAAGCTATGTTAAGTTTCTTGGAAGTCAAGAAAGACTTGGTGTTGGGTGCTCTTGTGCCAGGGTGACCATGAGCTCTTGGCTGTTGAGGGGCATGCGTACTCTAAGTGTAAAGCTAGTGGATTGCCTCACGTTTTTTCTTCAGAAAAACTGCAAGTACTGAGTGCTACAGTATACTGTTGTCTGCCTCAGTAAACATCTTCAAAAATCACTAGTGCTATTTGTTGCTTTTTTTCCTTCTATGCAGCCCCTGCAGAACAGGGAGCTGAAACACTGCAGCATCCCTTTTTATTTGGATATGAGTTACTCCGTATATTAAACTAACTTCGCAAAGAACATTTGAGAGCAAGAGTCTGAACAATCTGACCTGCTCTTTTTGTTTCAGGAAATTGCATTATCCAAGGAGAGGTTAAAATTAGAATGAGTATGGGGAGGTTTTTGTAAACCCAGCAACTCTCTTAATGGATGAATCATGTGGGTGTAACTTACAGTACTTGATAGCAAGCAGTCCGAAGGTATATGTGTAATAAGATTACCAGAATCATTTAGAAACTCGAGCTGAAACTACTGAAACGTGAACTTAATCTATTGTAAATATTTGTTACTCATTATCTAATAAAATGTAATACTCATTATCTATCAAAACACATTTGGTTAGAGTTAGGCAAATGAAGGTGAGATATAAGGTGCAAATTTTTAATGTTGGGTTATTCAACATTGGAAGAGCTTACCTGGAGAGGTAATTGGTAGAGCTGGGCACGTTTTTAAAGAATATTTTCTGGAAAAAATATTTTCTATGAAACAGGAAAAAAAAAAGAGCTGGTACTAGCCTAAAATGAAGGGAGAGGACTGAGAAAATGCTAAAACATTTGGACAGTGCTGAAAAATTTTTGATTTGACTTCATTTTTAATAAAATTAACAAATTCCTGTGTTGCACTACATCAGTCATCTAAAATTTGGCCTTCTACATTTCTTTTGATTGCGACTTAAGTAATCTGAATTACAGGTTTTCCTTTGTGTGTGACTCAAGCTTTTTTCAGATTTTCTTTTTTCCCCTGAACGTCATGACACACATGAATGAATCTGTTTTGGTGGCTTGAACTGAATCAAGATCCTGTCTTCCTTTCAGGAAGAAGCTTTTTAAAGTTTATCAGCTAACCCAGAATATCAAGTGTTTATTCAACATCACTGATGGAGCCTTCATCACTTGAAGCCTTGAACGCAAAACAGTCTTTCAAAAACTGCAATTGCCCCTACGAGTTACTAGGTCTGATGAAAATGTTTAGTCGTCTCGGTTTGGGTTAGACAGGAAGTCTGACTAGAGGATGACAAAGGTCTTCTCTAGCATTGAAAT